GCCAGTCAGCACCCCCCCTTCCCCTCCCAACTTTTAAGCCCCTTTCCTGACCATTCTGGCCTCCACAGAGCAAAGGCAACTGGATTGAGCTCAGCTCCTGGGGGCTGCAGGTCCCCCCGCTGCTGTCCCTCCCGCCTCCTGCACAGCTCCCACCCCACACGCCCCCTGCATTTTCTCCCGTTTCTTCCAGGGCCTCGCAGCTCCTCCTGGCCCCACTGATTTTGTACGAGTTCCAGCTGTCGGCATCTCGCTGACGTTCCTCACGGCTCCTGCCTCTTCCCGTCTGTCGAAGGCAGATGTGGGGGTGCAGCTCCCCCAGGCCGAGGGCAGCGGCGTCCCTCGGCCCCCTTTCACACGGCCCATTCGGGTCTTCACGGGCGTCGGAGGTGAATGGGCACCGGAGGGGAAAGGGGCATCGGAAGCAACGGCCGGAGGGAAGCAAGCGGGGCCCGTGCTTCTGTGTCTCGCCCCAGCCCCGATTTCGAGGTGGAAAAACCCGAGGCACGTCTGGCCCGGAATGGCCTGAAGCATGCCAGCCTGAGGACTAGCAGCCGCGGATGGCCTTCCCGCCCAGTCCCCGTCCACGGCCCCCCAACCTGGTGGCCCCCACCACGCCCTGCGGGGAATCCTCCGCTGAACCCCGTGCCCCATGGAGAAGGGCTTCCTTTCCTCAGTCCTGAGCCCCACCATCCAGCTCCACAGGAGGAGGCCAGGTTCCAGTCTCCGGGGGCAGGGAGACGAAGGCCTCCCGCTCTTCCTCCTCCACAGCGTGTGTGATTCTGGACCCCCCCCCCCATCGTGCCTCCACTGCTGGCCAATCTCCCGTGCCGAGCGGAGCCCAGAGGTTGTGCGGCCGACAGCACTGTCGCTCTCCTCAGAGCGCACTTCGGGAAGGAATCGGGCTGTGGCTGCCGGCGTGTGCGCTGCCCGCCAGGCGCACTCGGCCCCGTCGTTAGCAGCATCGTTGCGGAGGGGCCTCGGCCCCCAGGGTCAGCACACGAGAACGTCCAAGGAATGCCCCCCCAAGAGTATCCGACCGGGCCTTTTGCAGCGAGGGACTGTGCTTCCGGCACCCCATTTGGACGTGTCCTGTAATTGTCCTTTCGAACACACGTTCAGGAGCGTGTTGACGGTTTTTGAGGAGCGCTCTTGCCTGCATTCGGCTCCGCAGACATTCGCACGGGTTGCCGACGCGCGCGGGATAGTCCTGCAGGTGGGCTCGGAGCCGTGTCCGCGAGTGCGGAGCTTGCGACGAGCGCCCGCTTCCCCCTCTCGGGAAGCAGCCGTGGCTAGGCGCGCGGCTTGCTGCGGGCCCGTGGGGAAGACCCTCCTGCAAGCCCTCCCTCACGGGGTCTGCCCTCGGTGTGTCCTGTCTGTATTCTCATCGCTGCCCCACGGCATCCTGGCAGGGAAAGAGCTGGGCGGCAGGAGAGCCGGGTGTCCGCAGCGCTTCTCAGCACCACAGCCGGTGCCGGAGCGAGGTGCTGGCGACCCAGCGGGGGCCACGACGGGCAGAGGGCGAGTCCAGCCGCCTCTGCAGGGGCCTGGCCACGCCTGCCCTGAACCCCACCATGCTCCTGGTGAAGCCTCGCTTCGGTTCGGGCTCCCGCACTCCTTTGGGATGAGGTTCCAGGTTGTCGGCTCTCTGGAGGACCAGGCTGCCTTCCCGGGGCGGCTTGCAGACCCTCTGGTGCTGGTCTGTTGCTTGAAAGCACGGGGCGTCTCAGCTCCCCCGGAGGATGTGTGGGGCCGTGGCCGCTGACGTGGCATCATCCGCTGGGGAAAGGGGCCGAAGGGGTGGGCATTCGGGGCAGGTGTACCTCCTGCCTCACTGGCTTTTCAGAGGTCTTTGAGATGTGGACAGACAGGGTGATCTGGCGGGCGGTGTTCATTTGGACTTCCGAAAGTTTGGCAGGGCCCCTCTCCAGAGGCTCCTGAGCCGGCTAAGCAGTCATGGAGTAAAAGGGTGGCCAGGTGGCGGTGGGGGGGTCCTCTTTCGGATCGCTAACTGGTTCAAGAGCAGAAGGCCAGGTGGGAACAAGTGGCCGCTTCTCCTGATGGGGAGAGGACCCCCGTGGAGACCCGCAGGGCTCTGCGCTGGGGCCGGTGCTTTCCCGCCCATTCAGAGAAGGTCTGGAATCGGGAGCACCCGTGAGGTGCGGTGGGCCAGGTGCCGTACGGGGCCGGTCCCCACTCAGCCCTGAAGGCACAGCCGCCCAGCCCAACCTACCTTGCAGGGCTGTTGTTGTCGGGGGGGCGAATTACGTGAGCGGCCTCGAGTTCCTAGGAAGCAGAAAGGGCAGGAGATGAATACAGGACAGCCCAGGGCCAAGCGAGAGATGGGCCAAGGAGTCTTGCCCGTTCTCTGCGTCGGCCTCCCCCTGTCCCGCCTGCCCCTCTCCTTTGCTCTGCCTTGCGCCCGGGCCGGGCCGGGTACGTGGTGCAGCGAAGGCGAGCGAAGCAGCCATGTGGTCCTTCCGGCAAGGAGTCTGCGTCAGAAGACGAAGCCCTCGGTGGCCAGGTTTCCCCGGGGGCAGGCCAGGCTGCCGGGTGGCGCCTCTCCTCAGGGGAGCCTCCCTGGGCCAGGGCATGGCTCTGCCGTGTCCACGCAGGCCGGCAGCAGCGCTCCCCGCCCTGCCCGGAGACGCTGCCGGCACCGGGCCCGGGAGCGTCCATGCGCCGAGCGGGCTGCACCAGGGGCCACGGATCGTGCGGCCCGGCCCGGTTCCGCCAGGGCCACCAGGACGGCTCCCGAGGCAAGGCAGCCATGCACACGTTGCGGGTGCCCGGCGCAATTCCTTCGGCGGGGAGTTTCCGGGCGCAGGGTGCAGGCCGGTTGCCCTGACATTTACCCGGGAGCCGAGAGCGTGGGGCTGCGCCAACAGCCTTCCCGCGATGGGTTGGGGAGCTGCTCCAGTGTCAAGAGACCTCCAAGCTCTGGAGGCAGCATGGCGTCGTGGTGAAGAGCACGGGACTGGGGCTCAGGCGATCCGGGTTCGAGTCCCCGCTCGGCCATGGAGCCAGCTGGGTGACTCTGGGCCAGTCACAGGCCCTCAGCCCAGCCTACCTCACAGGGTTGTTGTTGTGGGGATAAGATGGAGGAGGAGAATGATGTCAGCTGCCTTGAGCCCTTTGTGGGAAAAAGGCAGGATACAAATCGGGGGGTGGGGGGTGAAGCTCCCAATGTGGTGTCTGCTAAATTAACTGTGACTTTGCAGGAACAGATTCCATTGCAAGCAGCTTCAAACTCTTCCCCGTTTCTGTATTTCCTGCCTGTTTTTCAAGCCGATATTGCTTGAAACGATATTGTTCTGCGGCAAACCTTGGCTCCGGAGCCACGCATTTGATCGCTCCTATAGGCAAAACATTTGTGAGAAATTTCTCCTGCCAGATTCTTTTTTCAAAGCATGTTTTCCAAGAGCTCTCGTTAAACCTTCTTCGTGAGCTGTTCTCTCCCCTGCTCTTGCCTCAGCCCCGGGGGTCCCACTGCAAGCATGCCTCCCCCTCCCTCCCTCTGATCCGGAGAGGGCCACCCGCCAAACTGATACCATCCCATGGGGAGCAAGGGGGGCAGCTTCCCTGGGCAGCGAGAAACAAAAGACACACTTGCTGAGCCCCAAAGTCACCCCCCTCCTCCCCATTCAGTTATTATCAAGCGATGCTGCAGCACCTTCCCGCGTGCAGAGAGCTCCTTCCCACGGACAAACAGCCTCACAATGCTTGCCCTCACAACAACCCTGCTGGGTGGTCCCAGCCCAGCTGAGTGGCTGGCACACGCCTCGTGTTTCTGTGAGCAGCGCCAAGACACTTCACACGCGGACACTGGGGGTGCGATGCCCTCCGTGAGCCGCTGCACGTGCCCCCGGGAAGCCCGTGGGCGAGAGCCCAGCGCCTGCAGATATGCTCAGAGGGCAGCCGGACTTTGCCCCGGTGCTTCTACGGCAGAACTAGAACGAGCGGGGGAAAGGGCAGGGGACGGGACGTGAGGATCGGTGCCCTGGCCAAGAGAGCTGTTCGGTCGTGGAACGCACGACCCCCTTTGCGAGAAGCATTGAAACAGCGTCCGGACTTGGCGTTCAAAGAGAAATCCGGAGTGGATTGAATTGCATTTAGATTTCCGCTAATCGAATAACATTAATTTGTTGACCAAAGTGCAGGTCTTTCTGAGTGTGTCCAGAAAAGCAGCACGCGGTGCTTGGGGCAAGATTGCTGAGCATTTATTTACGTAATTTCTGGAGTGGGAAAATCTAATTTCGTGGGGCTGTGAAAATGGATTGGACGTCTCCCTCCAAGCCGCACCGTTCACGTGGAATGGGGTCAGGGAAATCGGGCTGGGCCGGGCCAAGCCGCCGGGACCGGGCTCCGATCCTGCCCTGCAGAGCCCCGCGGAGCCCTTCCTCCGAGGAGCCCCCTTGCCGCTCCCTGCAGCAGCGGCTCAGGGCCAGGCGGCCTTGAAACGGGGCTCGCCTGGGCATTCGGAAAAGCCGCTGGCGTGTCTCCCTCAGTTGCTCTGCATCTGCAGGAAGGAACTGGAGCGCCGTCCTGCAGGGAGGATGCGGCCCCTGGGGGCACCCCCTTAGCTCTTTTGAGGAGAGGGGCTTTAAGACCCTCTGCGGGGATCCCCAGAGATATCCCAGGGCGTGTTGAGATGCGTCATCCGAAGCTGCAACGGGTCGTTCTGCTCGCAGGGTGGGGGGCGGTTTGGGTCGCTCCTTGGGGATGTTCCTCCCCCTGCGGACTGGGAGGCCTGCCTCGTACTGGGCAGGTGCTTCTGCTGCTCAAAGAGGGCCCAGCTTGAACGGCCAGGTCCGGTCTGAAAGGTCGGGGCCACGGGCGAAAGCCCCTGCCCTGTCCGAGGGCTGCTGCTGGCCGGGCCAGGAGGGCTTCCCATGCCTCGTGCCCACAAAATGAGGCGGGCACCCCGCCCGGAGGAGCCACGGAAGCACGAAGGCCCACGGGTTCTCCTAATCAGCCCCGCCTCCCGCCCCCCACAGGTGCAGGCAGCAGGAAGCGGTCTCCCGGCCCCTGCAGCCACCCCGGATCCTTGGCCGCCCTTAAATACGCCGTGGTTGGGCTCTACCTCCTCGTGTTCCTGATCCTCGTGGGAGTTTTCATCCTCGCAGGTAAGGCCGGCTGCGTGGTGGAAGGGGGCTGCCCCAGACCATGCCTGGGGCAGGTGTGGCGGTGGCGTCCCCCTGGCCAGCGAGGGCGCGCCTTGCCGGGGAGGCCTTTGCGGGGAGGCCTTTGCGAGCCCCTCAGCCTCAGCTGTGCTCAGAGCAGGTGGTCGTGGAGGAAGCCAGAGATGCGGGGAAGGGAACGCCACCCTCTCCCCGGAGACGGGGTGCTTCCTTCGCACCCGGCGAGGTTCCCGTTTCCCCTGGAAGCTCGCAGTGGCGCTTCTGCTGGCTGGGGAACGTTTGGCGAGCAGCACCAAGTCTGACGGCGCTTGATCCCCGGGGGCTCCCCATGAGCCAGTCCAGATAAACCGGGGATGAAGCCACGTGTGCCCCCTGGCCCTTGCTCTCGGGGCTGGCTGGGGACGCTGGGAGCTGGAGCCGGGCGCGCAGGGAGAGCGCCAGGTTGGGGAAGGCTGTGCTTGCACTTCCTGGATCTGCAACTGCCGCTCTGCTGCCAGGCTCCCCCCCCACAGCACGCACCCCCCTCCCCCTCCCCCGCCAGAGCCGCTGGCCGGTGGCCACTCCATGCGCTCGCGAGGACCACCACCCAGGCTCCCTGGGCGCCGCCATGGGCGGAGAGGCCCGTCCAGCCGAAGCCGAGGAGCGACGGCTGGCCCGGGGAAGGCGCGCCCGAGCCAAGCGAGGTCTGGTGGGTGGCCACGAACATCCGGCAGCGCGGAGTCGGGGTCTGTGGGCTGGGCAGCGGCCACCTCCACACGCTGCCAGGAGGCCGGGAGGGCTGGGCGAAGGGACGGCTGCCCAGCCAGGACAGGCCCCAACGCCGGAGATCCCGTGCCAGCCCTCTGCTTCCTGACCCTCCCCGGGGCTCTCCCCAGCTCTGCCTGGCTGCCCGTTCGGCCGGCATCCCCACAGGCGCCGAGGGGCTTGCCCCCGGGCTGAGACCCGGGCCCCGGGGCCCCGGGCAACTGCCCAGAGCGCTTCAGGGAGCGTGGAGGTTGTGTGGCTGCGCACAAGCGGGCAAGCGCTCAGAGCATCCCCGCTCTCCCGTATCTCGGCTGGCGAGCCATTTGTGGGTGCCGCTTTGCTCTCACGTGGGGATCAAAGCCTCGAACGGAGTGTGCCTGGAGAAGAGAAGGGGGCCTTCGTGCCCCCCGCGGCCTTCCGCCCCCCTGCCCCCCGCGGCCTTCCTCATGAGCCCGCTCGGTCCAGAGCCCCCAGGGCAGCCTCTCCCCGCCACCTGGCCGGCTTTCCCAGACCTGGCGGCACAGAGAGCAAGTGCAGCTGGAGGATGCAGGCAGGCGGGGTGTGGGGGTGTGGGGGGGCACAGCGGCGAGCCGAGTCCCCCTCGGGGAAGCTCTTGGCGGGGGAGGCCGGGCAGAATACCAGCCTGCTTCGGCTTCGCTGAAACCTTCGGCGAGGCATGTCGGCCTTTCCGAACATGAGTTTTCCATTACGGTTTCCCTTTCGCCTCTGCTCCGTGGCCTCCCCTCCCCTCCTCTTCTCCTCCTTGGCAAAGCTGGGAAACTAAATGATTGGCAGGTGAGAGGCGGAGGGCTGGGCCGGGGTTGGGGGGGGGGGCGTCTGGGCCTGGCACCGCCTGACCGCGAAAGGGGCCGGGGGCCGCAGCGCGCAGCTTGGTGGACGTGTCAGGCCGGTGCGCAGCCGAGCATTAGGAAAGGCACCGAAAACAGGACTGGTGGAAATCGCTACAAGTGCTGCCGCGTTTGGGATTTTGCCTCCCGCCCTGGTTGCCGCAGCCTCACGGAGCGGAGCAAGTGCAGAGGGATTGATCCGGGGGCCGCAGCGATGCCCCCAGGGGGACCGGGCCCCACAGCTGGGATCGCTTAGCTTGGAAGGGAGGCTGGAGATGTTTGAAAGGATGCCCGGTGTGGAGCAGGTGGAGAGGGAGCCAGATGGGGGACCGGGCAGGCTCGGGTTCGAGCCCCCACTCAGCCACGGGGCCCCCAGGGTGACCCGGGCCAGCCCTTCCCTTTCAGCCTGGCCTGCTTCGCAGGGTTGTTGCTCCGAGGATAGCGTGGAGCTGGGGAAGCTCCCTTGGGTTCCTCGCAAGAGCAGAACAGGCCCAGATGGGAACGGGCTGCCCCGTGGGGATGCGGATCAGGCAAGCGACCGGTGCGTCACCCCGGGGGCGGATTGGCGGGGGATTCAGGGCGGCTTGGGGGGACCCTTGACACAGTGCGGGGTTCTGCTGCAGAACTCGCTACCCCGGGGGGCGGTCTGCACATCCCCTCTGGGGGCCTTGAAGGCGGCTCTGCCCGGGTGACTCCAGCATCTGACTGGACGTCTCTGAGTACTGGCTGCTGGGGAGCATGGGTGAGGAGGTGCTGCGGCACCTTTGCCCAGCTTGGGCGATCCCTCCACGTGGACAGAACGCTGGACTCCATGCCCTGCTCTGAGCTGGCAGGTTTCTTCTGACGTTCCTAAATCCCAGAGGGCCGGATTGGGGCCCTATGGGGGGCTGGTTCAGCCCCCGGACCTGTGGCTTTGCACGCCTGCGGTATGCCCGAGCGGGGCCTTCGTGCCCTCCGGCTCCTCCGGCCCACAGCCGCCGCTGCTCCGAGGCTGGAGCCCCACGTTCCAGCCACTGTCCAGGCGCACCCCACAGCTGTGGGGCACTGGGCACACGCCACACTCGCAGCCGGCCGCAGAAGCCCCTTTCCTGTCGGGCATCGCTGCGCACCCCGTCGCTTTGCATGCTCCACGAACGGCACATTTTCCCACCGGAGCCCAGCTGGACAAGGCTCCCCGTCTCTCCCCCCGGTTAGGGAGGAGGAGAAGAGGGGCGCGGGTGCTGCCGGCTGCGCTGCCCCTCCCCACTCCTCCCCTCGTCTGCAGGGGGGGCAACGTCTGATCATGGTCAAGAAGGGGGCTTCTTTCGCAGGAGGGGTGTCGTCATGTCAATCTGTTTATTTTTCTCCCGGAGGAAAACGGGCGACTGTTGTTTCTGCAGGAGGTGGATGAAATTATGTACAAAAACAGCCGCCCACCCACTTCCACAGAGAAAGCGCTGCTGCCCAAAAGAGCAGATCGGGGGCGCTGGGGTGGGATGGTCCTCTTAAAAGGCTGCATCCTTAAAGGGGCAGCAGCAGGCAGCGGAGGCTCACATCTGGGGGGCTGTAAAGGACCCCCACTCTGCCCCCCTGGCGGCTGCGGGACCATCCCCACTTGCCGAGATGAGAGACTGGGGGCCCCTGCTCTTCACTCAGGGGCGTGTCAGGAGGTCTGGGGGTGGCAGGCGAGGGGACGGGTTGGTCCCGTGGCTGGCAACACCCATCAGCCACAAGGGCTTTGTGTGAACGCAGGGGAGGGGGCTTTCGGAAGGGCTGCTGCCCCATGCCTTGCCGAGGACTCGCCCCCCCCAGGGTGCCCCGACCCTGATCCTGGCTTGCGTCCCAGTCCAGTGCTTCGGATAAGAACCGGGTTGGCTCAGCCCAGTTCAGAGCCCTTTCCTCTGCGAGGGATTAGCTTGACAGTCTTTTAAATGGATAAACGTTTTCCGCTTGGTCAGAACAGAACAGAGCTGCGCACCCAGCAGCCCCTTAGGACAGAATCAGACCTGCTGAAAGAAAATTAGGGGGTTTTATGAATTTTTGTTCTTGGCCTGTTTAACAGATAGATAAATGTGTTAGTAGGTCCATCCTTAGATAAATATATGGGCTTGTTGGGAACTCCTTTAATTTCTTGGCAGAATGGAACAAAAACTGCAAGGAAAGCTTCCCGGGGGGGGGGGGTGGCCAGTCTGCTGACTAAATTCACGGACGGTGCCTAAGGGGGCAGTGGCCCCAACTGAGGAGCAGTGCTCCAGAGCCAGAAGGACCTGGGCAGGCTGTGGGAGTGGGCCGGGGACCGCAGGGTGGCCTTCAGCGTGCATAAGTGCCAGGTCTTGCACGTGGGGCCCAGGAGTGGGTGTCACGGGTACAGGTTGGGGGGCGAGTGGCGGGAGAGCAGCACTGTGGAAGGATCTTGCGCTCCTTGTCGGCAGAAGACCGAGCGTGAGCCAGCTGTGTGGTGCGGCGGCCGAGAGGGCAAACGCCACCCGCGGACACCTGGCCAGGAGCGTGGCTTCCAGGTCGAGGGGGGTGTCAGGACTGCTCTGGGTGGCACTGGCGCACCCTCCCCTGGGGTACCGTGGCCAGTGCTGGGCTCCCCGTCGTGGGGAGACACTGCCAGGTCGGGGTCGGCCCAGCGCAGGGCACAGGAATGGGAGCCGGGCTGGGAGGGCTGCCTGGGAGGAGAGTGGAGGGAGCGGGGTCTCTCCAGCTGGAGGAGGGGAGACCCCCAGGGGGCCTGTTAGCGGCTTCTGGGGGTGCGAGGGGGTGTCCTGTGGGGCAGGGCCCTGAGCTGTTCTCCCCTGCAGTGGAGGGCCGGACGCGCTCCAGTGGGGCAAAGCTCGAGGAACCGGGCTGCAGCTTGGATGCCAGGAAGGACTTGCTGGCGGTTGGGGCCCCGAGGGTGTGGAACAGGCTTCCGGGGGAGGTTGACTCCCCGTCAGCGAGGGGGTTCAAGGAAAGATTGGACAAGCACATGCTGGGGATGACATGAGCAAAGCCGGCTGGAGCCGGGGGTCAGACTAGATGGCCTGGGAGACCCCTTCTGACTCTTTGTTTCTATGTTTCTCTGTTTCCCCTTTGGAGGCAATCCAGTCTGCCCAGTTTTAGAATGATTGGGGGGGGGGGTTAAATGCAGAAGCACTTTTAATACACTTGGGGGGGTGTCTGCAGAAGGATCCAGGCTCACCTTCCACGCTGCTTGTGGAGCATTGTCCTCAGGATGTCAGGCTGCCCAGGGAGACAACTAAGTAAGGGGATTTCAGACGATTAGGCACACCGGCTTTGTGGAAGCAAGTGCAGCCCTGTATTCGGGATGGAGGGTGGGACTCATTTCCTCTCCCGCACCCTGTTCGGGAAGCATCACAGAGTCAGGAAACCCGCAGCGTTTAAGAAGGATCCATGCAGGGCATGGGC